AATACCCTCGAAATAGCCGAATACCGCCGAATCCCGCGTACTAAAAGTGGAACGCACCCTCTATCATACAATGACAGTCTCATTAATATTTTGACGACCCGTTAGAATAGGTCTTCAGCAACCCATGCTTGCCATAAAAGGCGACAATTGCGAAGATCGATGCTCATGATGTCAATCACTGGATTGTCTGGTCCAGACTCGATTATTTACAGAACGCCGTCATATAGCTGAGAGCGGCGTTAAACAAGAAACTGGTATAGAGGCTGCAACTACTCCTGCAACAACAACAACAACAACAACTACGACGGCTGCTACATGTACTAATATAAATATTTTGTCCTGGAGTTTATCGCCTTTAGCCGTAAGGGTGTTGTTGAATTATTGACAGAGGCGTCCCTGGACACAAGGGGGACATTTGCAGAGTTGTGTTTCAGGGGCGGTCGGGGCGGTCGGGTAGCCTAGTGGTTAAAGCGTTCGCTCGTCACGGCGAAGACCCGGGTTCGATTCCCGACATGGGTACATTGGGTGAAGCCCATTTCTGGTGTCCCCCGCCGTGATATTGCTGGAATATTGCTAAAAGCGGCGTAAAACCATACTCACTCACTCACTCACAAATTATGTTTCCAGGTTTGTCAGCAGCGACAAAGTTCGCCAAAGTGGGAAACTACGAAGACCTGCTTCACACTGACCTAGTTGTCTCCGGCAGTACAGAAGTGTGTCTCTTAGGTGAGCATGAATAACGTGGGTTCGAATCCCAGATTCTCCCACAGCAAGCTGACACGCCATGGTGTAACTGAAATATTGTTCAAAGCTGCGTTAAAGCAAAGTCTCACTCTACCTATCACTGCGCGTCTGTCTTAGCACTCGTCTCTGGGCCATTGGTGTCTACTTGTTGATGCGATGTATTAAAGTTAACAAAGAGTTGAGTTGAGTTGTGTTTAACGCCGCTTTTAACAGTATTCCACTAATATCACGGCGTGTCAGCTTAATGTGGGAGGAAAGCCCGAAGTGATGCAGGTCTCAGACGTTTACCACTTCGGTGAAACCCACGAGCACGGGAATGGTGCTGACAAACCTAGAAACATAATCGGGGCGAACCGGGATTCGAACCCACAATCATAGGTTTCTGGCGTGCCCAAGGGACGCAACTCTGCACAGTGAATCGCGAATCGCCTTAGACGACTGGGCCAGCCGTGCCCCCAGTTAACAAAGAGATCAATATGAACGTGTTTGGTGCACATGGCTGCACACACTGCAGGCAGATGAGGAAGAAAAGATGAAGAACAACTTATGGTGCAACTGAATGAATCACCTTTTACTTCACTGGGGGGCAGAAGTGACACAGACCCTCTGCAGAGTTGCGTCCCTTAGCTGTGCCAGAGGCCTATGATTGGTCCGAATTCCATATTCGCCCTGGTTATGTTTCTTGGTTCGCCAGCACAATACCCATGCTCGTGGGTTTCACTTAAGTAATTAACACCTGAGATCTACACCACCCTTGGCCTTCCTCCACCGTAAAGTGAAGCACTGTTCAAAGCGGCGTAAAACTAAACTCACTCATTCACTCTGTATCTCTTTGTTGCACTCACAGAGCATTAACCACGTAATTTATGTTAACATGCCACAGCTCATCAAGTCCCTAGCTTCATCACGGTGTCCAAAAGTCAGTGATTGATATCATGAGCAACGTCCCTAGCCTGATCATCGGGTTCACGTTAGTCGCATCATTATACGACAAGAAACTGAACGTTTTAGACCTATTCCCACAACCATCGCAACGATCTGGGAGAGTCATGTGTAATTTCATTGATTTACTTATGTCATGACGAACTGGATACACTGCTTGTGTCAAGATCACCAGCGTCATGGCTCACTGACATTTCCTTTATCTGCAACCAACTCACACGCACGAATATACCGACTCATGGGTCATAAGGGAGGTAAGTACTTAGAAATAATGTTAGCCGGTACTAGCGGAAGGGCGTTTCATGACAGTGGTATTTTAAATATACAAACTCGTTAATCAGGACTCGGACGAACACTTATGGTATTTCAAGTACATGTATACTAGTAATTAAACGGAAATACTCATGACTCATTAATCCGGACACTGGTCAATGCGATTTCACTGAGAATATGATCGTTCAGATTATCAAGGTTCCGCTTTATAGGGGCAGTGAGGTGGCCTCATGGCAACGTTGCTTGATACATCAAAGATCTTGGCTCGATTGGCAAGGAGGGGGGGGGGGGGGGGGGGTCAAATGTGTGAAATCCATTCTCGTCTCCAAGTTTGACTTCGTTTATGTGTCTCTATTTTTCCGGTGAACTTTACACATTCGAACTATAAAATATAGAGAAAATATACATTGTCGGAAAGAGGTGGTGAGGTGAAATTGGGTTTAACGTCGCGTCCAAGATTATTGCACTTATATAGCGACGTGCATGCACGTGTGTGTCTGTGGCTGCTTGTACTAGTCCGGACTGATGCCGATTTATAGTGCTAGGTTACTGAGATACCATGCCGCAGTTTAACATGAATACCCCACTCAGACACAGTTTACTGACTCCGAGCCGACCAGTCCTTGTTTTAGCCCCTTTATGTCGAGCGCCAGACAGGGTAACAACAAGTACCATCTTTTAACGTCTTTTGGTATGACGCGGCCGGGGATCGAACCGCCGACCTTCCGCTCTCCGGGCGGACGCTCTACCACAAGACCACGGAGGCGGCACTTGTCGGAAAGACAATCTTTCCATTGATATAACTATCGCCCCTTGTGATGGATCGGCGCGGGGACCCGTAGGGACTCCAAGTTAGAACAGGTTCCCAGCAACCTATGCTTGTAAGAGTCGACTGAATGGATCAGGTTGTCAGGCACGGTGACAAGGTTGATTGCATGTCATCGTATCTCGACTGCGTGGATTGTTGCTCACAATATCGATCACTGGATCGTCTGGTCTTTCCTCTTTTGCACTGGATTCCAAAGCTCCACAAACGCCCGTACAAAGATATAATGTTCGGTACTACCAAATCGTTGTCTCAAAGATAAACGTTATTCCTCAATTCAATCAAGGAAGGGCTTTCGTTATATTCAAAGAAAGTATTTCAGACAAGTGTAATTATTACCATGTGGTTTTTTCAAATACCCGAAGGATTTGATTAATTTTTTTGCAATCTCAGAAAAGAACCATGTTCAATGCTTACAAAACATTTGTTTTCTTTTCAACCTTGTACACGACTATCCCACAAGACAAACTTAAGGGAAATCTACATTCCTTGATTAACCCGGTGACCATAGATATAGTTACATATCCATCTTCAGAGATTCAGGACAATTTGTCCAGTCGTTTAAGGCGCCGCGACTGCCGTGCAGAGTTGCGTCCCTTGGGCACGCCAGAAACCTATGATTGTGGGCTCGAATCCCGGTTCGCCCCGATTATGTTCTTAGGTTTGTCAGCACCATACCCGTGCTCGTGGGTTTAACCGAAATGGTAAACACCTGAGACCTGCATCACTTCGGGCTTTCCTCCCACATTAAGCTGACACGCCATGATATAACTGGAATACTGTTACAAGCGGCATTAAACCAATCTCACTCACTCACGTTAATCTGAAAAAAATACACGGAAAATTATAGAACAAGTTAAAATAGGGAATTGACATCGTTTTGGTCCTCCACATGACTACCATAAAACGTTTTGAACGCTTTACTGAAGGCTTGGACGTTGTAACCTTGATCAAAGAACTTTTGAGAAATCGTCCTATGACTCCCTATGAAATCTTGGTAGAAAGAGCATACTCGCTTGTACCTCAACAGTTATGGCTGAAACTGCAGGAATATTGCTCTAGATTAAGAGAAAGCTGACTGTTGGAGTCATCCTTTTTGTCACTCTCAATCTTAATGCATAGATTTAACTATGACACAGACGATGCGGTCTCAATGGTCTCCTGTAATTAATTAATGGTTCAGGGGGGTAATTCTGTGGGGGTTATTCAACGATATGAGATCATCAGGTCATCGATATACCTGAAGCTTCAGTAAAACTTCTTGGTCAAATCCCCTTGTTTCAGAATTTGCGAATGCGAGCAGAAATTTCGATTCATATGTACAAAGAAACAGATCAGCCAGAATGGGATAAAAATTGGCACCAATGGGAATGCCTACTTCTTTCCTTAATGTCTTGACGCCAAACTTTGCATAAATGTTATCAATGTGAGTCAGTGAATTGGGATTTAACGCCGCTTTTAACAGTATTCCAGTTATATCACGGCGTGTCAGCTTAATGTGAGAGGAAAGCCCGAAGTGATGCAGGTCCCAGACGTTTACCACTTCAGTGAAACCCACGAGCACGGGTATGGTGCTGACAAACCTAGAAACATAATCGGGGCGAACCGGGATTCGAACCCGCGCCTTAGACGACTGGGCCATCCGTGCACCCTTTAGATTAACGATTGACTATCCTTTGCACGTGCTCATCTTTTCGCGAACACCTGGTATCATCACAATTTGATAGAGACATGAACCTGACGCACAGTCGACTGCTTTAGGTAAAGACTTTACGTATGAATATGGAGTGGGTTTTGTCAGTTATATTTGCAAAACTATCTCTGGCTTGTTACGGTTCTAATTGATATGAATAGATACCGTAACACTTTCAGTAGGGACCAGCAACCGTCAAAACATTTACCGAAATTAATCCTGTAAGTACAACGTACAGGGAAAACGCACACAATGTTATCGCAGTCATGACGCATCGACGATACTTTTATCTCTTTCTTACCATGACGGCGTCAATATAAACAACCATGGCCGATGTCAATTGTAAAAGTACACCCCTGTTACCTTAACGCTGTTTGGGTATACAAATCAAGCAGTTTACACAGACAACAATCCCTGGGCCACATAGTGCAGTGTTCGCTCTCGGCTTTTTTTTCATTGGTCCTTACGGCATGCAACGGTGATTGTATCGATCCTCTGAGAGTGAATTAAGGTTCGTCGACACTAATTGTTTCAGTACAGACAGTCTCTGGCTGGGATATGATGTAAAATGGCGTTGGAAGACGTCACGTGGTACGTGGGAGTCCGTCTTCTCCTTCTATCACTAACTCTGCGGTGTTGTAAAGCAGCTGGTAAGTCCATTGATTCTCAAATATCACAACATGATTATCATAATTTACATATTTTAAAAAATATCCAGAAACCAGAAGGTCCGCCACTCTGTCGGGTATCTGAAGTTTGTAGCAAACGGTTTTGCTGTTAGAATCAACATGTCAGAAGGTGACGCGTGTTAGTTGTCTGTTGCACTGGTGTATTTGATGTGCAGAGTTGTGTTCCTTAGATGTGCCAGGATGCTAAGATACTTTTTTCGTCATGCTAATGATCCTTTAGTTGTCAGTATTATACTGCATTGTCTCTCCTTGTCGCCACAAGGATGTCACACAACACCTATAGAATAATACAAACATTCTCGCATTCAGCAGGCAGGCATTCTTCTTTCACGTATCCATCCGCTCAGTCATGTATAAAAGGGTCAGCCAGTTTCACTTGACCAATCCCAGGTTCTTGGCTTCTGTCTCAAACACTAATAATATTGATATTGTGACCACAAACACTTAAGGTTCTTCAGAACCATCGCTACATCATTCTATATACGCTGTGATCGAGGGTGGCATCAAAGTGGTGTCCCACGCCGTGATATTGCTGGAATATTGCTTAAAGCGGCGTAAAACCCTACTCACTCACTCACTCACACATCAAATTTGTAAACTTCTTGGTTGGTTGGTTGGTTGGATGTTTAACGCCGCTTTCCGCATTATTCCAGCTATATGACGGCGGTCTGTAAATAATCGAGTCTGGAACAGACAATCCACTGATTATTACCATGAGCATCGATCCACGCACTTGGGATAGATGACATGCATCAACCAAATCACCGAGCCTGACCACCCAATCCCGTTAGTCGCCTTTTACGACAAGCGTGGGTTGCTGAAGACCTATTCTACCCCGAAAAGTAAACGTACACACAGGTTACGGGTATTACGTCGTCGATGACAAGCGTTTTGTCACTGTACATAGCTGTTGAATCGTTGTCAAATAAATACTGGAAGTCAGATGTCTTTAACATGACACGTTTGTCAAATCTGAGCGGCAGGCTTGCTAAGCACGATCCTAATATCATGAATAGGTAGCTTGCATCCACAATATACATTTAAATCTGCATCGGTACAACAGTGCATGCACATTAATATCGCAGTACGTTCGCACCAATACCACAATGCCTGGGCACCAATACCACAACGCATGCACTTTAATATCGGAGTACGTACGCACCAATACCATAATGCCTGCGCACCAATACCACAACGCATGCACTTTAATATCGGAGTACGTTCGCACCAATACCACAATGCTTGCGAACAAAACCACAACGCATGCACATTAATATCGCAGTACGTTCGCACCAATACCCCAATGCCTGCACACCAATACCACAACGCATGCACTTTAATATCGCAGTACGTTCGCACCAATACCACAATGCCTGGGCACAAAACCACAACGCATGCACATTAATATCGCAGTACGTTCGCACCAATACCACACTGCCCCCGCACCAATACCATAACGCATGCTCATTAGTTTCGCAGTACGTTCGCACCAATACCATAATGACCCTGCACCAATACCACAACGCATGCACATTAATATCGCAGTACGTTCGCACCAATACCACAATGCCTGCGCACAAAACCACAACGCATTCACATTAATATCGCAGTACGTTCGCACCAATACCACAATGACCCTGCACCAATACCACAACGCATGCACATTAATATCGCAGTACGTTCGCACTAATACCACAATGCCCCCGCACCAATACCACAACGCATGCACATTAATATCGCAGTACGTTCGCACAAATACCACAATGCCTGCGCACAAAACCACAACGCATGCACATTAATATCGCAGTACGTTCGCACCAATACCACAATGTCTGCGCACAATACTACAACGCATGCTCATTAATATCGCAGTACGTTCTCACCAATACCATAATGACCCTGCACCAATACCAGAACGCATGCACATTAATATCGCAGTACGTTCGCACCAATACCACAACGCCTGCACACCAAAACCACAACGCATGCGCAACAATACCACAATGCATGTGCACAATACCACAATGCATGCTCATTAATATCGCAGTACGTTCGCACCAATACCACAATGCCCCCGCACCAATACCACAACGCATGCACATTAATATCGCAGTACGTTCGCACCAATACCACAATGCATGCGCACAATACCAAAACGCATGCACAACAATACCACAATACATGCGCACAATACCACAACGCATGCGCATCAATATCACAATGCATGCGCATCAATACCACAACGCATGCGCATTCATACCACAACACATGCGCATCTATACCACAACACATGCGCATTCATACCACAATGCATGCACATTTTTATCGCAGTGCATGCGCATCAATACCACAACGCATGCCCATTTATACCAAAAAGCATGCGCATCGATACCACAACACATGCGCATTCATACCACAACGCATGCGCATCTATACCACAACACATGCGCATTCATACCACAATGCATGCACATCATTATCGCAGTGCATGCGCATCAATACCACAACGCATGCGCATCAATACCACAACGCATGCGCATCAATACCACAATGCATGCACATCAATACACAGTGCATCAATATACAGTTCGAAATTATAGTCGTGGTCCTATGTCTACCTGTCATCTTATCCATACTCTCCCTCTCGTCGTGGATGATGCATCAGCCTGTGTTGATCTATCCATCACTATGACACTTTGTGCTGGGACACGGTATCCCAGTCGCGTTGATCGATGTCCATGTCAATCGGTGTCTTGTCTGTCCCAGACCGCCATCATACAGCTGCAATACTGATGAGTGCGGCGTGAAACAAAAGAAATGTACAAAGATATATCAATACTATTTTCCTTACAAAACTCTTTTTATTCGCGAGTAAAATATAAATAAAACAATATAAAAATTAGATACAGTGAAACCCTCTTATTCCGGATTGTTGTGTCTGTATATATATATGTTATATCATACAATGATATTATATAATAAAGATATACATCCATGACTCGAAAATCCGGACATTTGCTAATCCAGACACGTATTCTTGAAACACAACAATCCGGATTAACAGGGTTGTTTGGCATGACCTTGTCTGCCAATATTGTTTCACCTTATTATTCCTACATGTCCACGTGATTCAATGGTTGATTAGTGGATGCTTTGTACGAAATAGGTCCCCATCTAACACATAAGTGAGTGAGTGTGGTTTAACGACGTTTTTAGCAATAATCCACTATAATCACGGCGGGGGACACCAGAAATGGGAGTGACACATTTTACCTATGTGAGGAATGGAACCCGGGTCTTTAACGAACGCTTTAACCACTAGGTTACAACAACGCCCCATCTTTCAAATAAGGGCAATTATAGCGTCGTGACGTTTTATGTATTTTAATCTGTATTTTAAACGACAAAAATGCAATGTGACAGATGTCAAAGTATGCATATCTGTTATCAAAACAGCATTAACAAAATCTGTGTGGTTGGTTATGCGTGGCTGCTTGAACTGGTTCGTACAAATGCGCACATTGTTAGTGCGATCGCACTGAGATACCGTGTCGCAGTTTAACATGGACACCCATGAAGAAAGGATTGTAAAACATATGTCAAATACAGGTTAAGGCACACTGTATGCATGTTTGGTTGTTGGGCAGGGTTGTAACATGTTCCGGCACGTGTGGTGTAAATAGCATATTCGTCACCTCGGTTGATTGAAATATACATGATTAATGTCAATGCATTTTATAGCAGATCAGGATGAGCTTAAACCGCGTGAACTTGATTGGCTTATAGCAGAGTCATAGTATCGTGTGGTAAACAAGCTTACAGTAGATTACTGTACCTGTAAGAGGACACGTCAAATGGAGCTCAACATCGTCTTCAAGGTTATTACACTTACATTGCAACGTGCATATATGTGTGTGCGTGTGTGTGTGCGTGTGTGCGTGCGTGCGTGCGTGTGTGTGTGCGTGCGTGCGTGCGTGCGTGCTTGCGTATGGCTGGTTATGCGTGGCTTGTAGTGGTCCGTACAAATGCCATTTGTTAGTGATATCTCAGCATGATACCATGTCACAGTTTAATATGACCAAGTGTACCCAGACACAACATACTGACATTGTTTTAGCCCCTTAAAGCCGAGGCCAGGCAGAGTAAATACAAGTACCATCTTTTAACGTCTTTTGGTGTGACGCGGCCGGGAATCGAACCATCGACTTTCCGCTCTGTGAGAACCCACCAGGCCATGGAGGTGGTCACATACTTTCAGATCTGGAGTACATGTAGGTGAAGGGTTCAGCATGCCTACACGGGATCAGTCTTACTATTCAATCTGAAGTAGCTGAATGTTAAACCTGCCTATAAAGGATGTGTCAATACTATTCAATCTGAAGTAGCTGAATGTTAAACCTGCCTACACAGGATCAGTCTTACTATTCAATCTGAAGTAGCTGAATGTTAAACCTGCCTATAAAGTTTCTGTCAATACTATTCAATCTGAAGTAGCTAAATGTTAAACCTGCTTATAAAGGATGTGTCAATACTATTCAATCTGAAGTAGCTGAATGTTAAACCTACCTTTAACGTTTCTGTCAATACTATTCAATCTGCAGTAGCTGAATGTTAAACCTGCCTATAAAGGATGTGTCAATACTATTCAATCTGCAGTAGCTGAATGTTAAACCTGCCTATAAAGTTTCTGTCAATACTATTCAATCTGCAGTAGCTGAATGTTAAACCTGCCTATAAAGGATCAGTCAATACTATTCAATCTGCAGTAGCTGAATGTTAAACCTGCCTATAAAGGATCTGTCAATACTATTCAATCTGCAGTAGCTGAATGTTAAACCTGCCTATAAAGGATCAGTCAATACTATTCAATCTGCAGTAGCTGAATGTTAAACCTACCTATAAAGGATCTGTCAATATTATTCAATCTGATGTAGCTGAATGTTAAACCTGCCTATAAAGGA